AATCTGCCAACGGCACTTGGATTATGCTAGTTTTTCGAGATTGTTAAGTACAGATGCCAGAATTAGTTTGCACGTTTTTGGATTTTTCTGTTTTAGTTGATTTTTTTTTTTGTTCTTTGTAAGAAAGAAAACTGTTTGGAATGCTTACTGCTTATCCAGGAATGCTGTCTTATTTTCGAATCTAATTTTTGCCCCGATAAATTAATCTTTTCCTTCTTCCTTTAGTACACTCTTCCTTGATTCGTTTTTTTTTTTTCTATTCAGATGTTTCCCCCGAACCAAGATTTCTTCCTGAATAAAATCACCTACCATTCCGTGCCTCCTCTGCAATTATCGCAAAAAATTCAGTGGTTGAAACACTGTTGATTGTTCGTTTAATAATTTTACATGGAAAAAGTACCGTTCTTTTTTCGAGAGACAAATAGGATTGCTGGTTTTTGGAAAAAATCTTTCTTTCAGAGGATTTTGCTTTTCTTTGCATGAGGTTAGCAAAAAGAACATATTTTTGGTGTTAATTTGTTACTTTGGTCATATATTGCGTTTTCTTTCAACTGTTTGTTGAGTCCATTTCGCTAACCCCAAAGTTTCATTCCTAGTTTCTGAGTGCTCTGAAGTTTTAACCTGCTGTAGCTCTTTTGGCCTTTTTTTTTTAACTGGGAAATTTATTTTCGAGCAGAATTTGCTCAATATTTAGTGCATGTCATTCTCGGTTTTTGGTTCTGCTCACTTCAAAGCTATTTTACTTCCTGAATAATTCTGTTTTAACTAATCTGTTCAATTAAACCATCTGTGATTTTGTTCATTTCATACACTCCTTTCTCACCCATTCTCTATCGCATTCTGTCCAGTTGGAGTTTGAAGAGCGCTGTAGCTATCTTTTATTCACTTATTCTTGGAGTGACTGTGTAATGTCACAGTATTCTATTGGTAATGTAGTTTTTTCCTCGTAGTGGGTTTCTCTGCATCCGGAATTCGGTGCCCTGAAGTGCTCCTGTCCAATCGAAAACATTTCTTTTTAGAATCTCAAGCTTTGCAAAGATGAAATGCGAAGTAGGACATGACTTGACCTGCCGTGCTAGCTAGCTCCTTACGCACGCTTGCTCGAAGCATTGTAAATGTCTCCCCCCCCCCCCCCCCCCCCCCCCCCCCCCCCCCCCCCCC